AAAATTGGTTTGATCAAGACTGCCAAACTATTCGCAAAAAACTGAGAACATTGTCAAATCAGAAACACAAAGATCCCAATAATGCAGAGTGAGGGAGAGAGAGAGAGAGGGAGAGAGAGGGAGGGAGGGAGAGAGAGAGAGAGATGAATGATTGGTTGTTCTCAGTGTGAGAAAGATAATACTCCCTTTAATGTTTCTTCAAGGAATCAGTGGCTTGTTCAGCAACCTGCACTTGAACTTGTGTGAAGTTTAGTATATTTAACACCACTCGATTTTCACACAGTTTTCTTTGTCCGGATCTCTTTTAGAAATATATTCCAGCCAGTGAATATTGGGAAACTGGAAATTCACCCTTTGGATATTCAGCACATTCACCTTTTGGACTTTAAACACACCATTGTTTGCACTCAACCTGAAGTTTGCTGTCTGGAGATGACAATCAAGCAAAAATATTGCTGTTGTAACCCATCTAGTCATCTCAGTAACAAAGAACCATTGCAGAACTATTATTTTTAAGAGTGGTGTTTGAAACGTGCCAGTTATGTGTTTTTGTAAACAACTGCAATTGCAGTAACACATTCTTATTTTTCAAAAACAACATAATGTAAACATAGTAAACATTAGAATGTATCTCAGTTTCTATTATAAGATATTATGCGTATCTTTATGATATATTATAAATAGGGATGCACCGATATGAAAATTTTGGCCGATACCGATAACCGATTATTCTTTATTTTTGAAAGCCGATAACCGATATGTTGGCCGATAAATCTATATCCAAATTGTTATATACTTTTTGAGAGCCTGATTACAAAAAAGGTCTCATCATTAAAAGCCACATCCCAAACACTTCAACATAAGCATACAGACAATCTTCATGTAGTTTTTAACTCTGGTGAAGGTTGGACTGAGATTTTTGATGAACAAGGCAGCCACAAAACAGTTTCATCTTCCTCTGTGGATGAGCAATAACTTCCTGTCTTACAAAACTGAAAACATCTCTTTCCCTCATGAGGACGTGAATCACACTTCCTAATTATAATATTTTTTATTGCAAATTAAATCTGATTTTTAAAAAATCTAATTATCAAAAGTTCAAACATAAAAATAGTGCAATTCTTAATGACAAAACCTTATTCCGTCAGAGCAATTCAAGCTGCAAGTACCACCTTCATGTTTTTGCAGGCTTGCGTATTTAATCAGCAAATAATAAAAGTGGTATGATTAAATTTGAAATCACTTGACACTAGACACATTGAAATCACCTCGACAGAGGTGATACATTCCTGTTTTTACAGTCCACATAGCATTCAACATTTTGAAAGTCTGATAAACATTCATCACATTTTTATTTAAACCAGCTTTCTGTCTGTTTGGCTGGAATTTCCTCAATAACGGTCCGTTCTGTTGGCCACTGCAGTGCAGTAGTGCAGCATCCCTCTGAAGATATCGTCTGGATCCGACACTGCCAAACGCAGTCTGCCAGTTGTGTGTTCTGCACACTATGTACTCCAACACCCTCATTTGTCAGAAGTTAGTCCATGTGTTACTGTTAAATAAGGAATTTCTACTGAGGAGCTTTGCCATGTTGATGTAAGCACAGAAATAGTGTGGAAAGAATGCTTTTTGGCAGGACATGAAAATGATCCGGTTGTATGCAAATCTGGATGTTGGGAATCTGTTATAAGTTTTTATACTTTGATCTATTTAAACTCTGGCCAACGATGTCCCCTTATTTGGTGTGTTCACAAAAATGGCAGTTGGTAACCTTTGTTAAGCCTTTGTTATTACTGTTTTTCATACTTGGCGTTAGTGATTTGTAGAGCTGGGGGACTGGGACTCCAACTCGGACTCAGACTGCGATTATGAATGAAGTTGGACTTGGATGGAATTGTACTCGAACATGACATGGACTCTTGACATTTTGGAGAACAGACAAATTTGCGTCATGTGTAACATGAAAGATAAAAAATAAGTAAGAGCATAAAATGAATATAAAAAGACATTAATGAACGTCTCCCACACAAACTCAATTGGTTAAGGACTAGGACTAGACAAGGTGGACTCAGAACCAACACTAGTGATTTGAACAAACCCAAAATGAATAATTATTTAGTGTGTAAGTGTAACGGAGGCCCAGCGGTAGGTGCTGTGCAGGTAAACCTCACTCCAAGAGATGCACTAGCGACTAGTCTTTAGCCTCCTTGTTAGTGCGTCCGCCTCCCATGCCGAAGACCCGGGTTTGAGACCCACTCGGAGCGAGAACGAAGTGTGGCAGTGAGGACCCGGGAGAGAGGGATTACATTGGTGCCATGACCCGGATGGGAGTGAGGCTTAGGGGGGTGAGTGTAACGGAGGCCAGCGGTAGGTTCTGTGCAGGTAAACCTCACTCCCCTGATCTCAAGAGACGCACTAGCGACTGACGCTAGTAGCTGCAGTCTTTAGACTCCTTGTCAGTGCGTCCGCCTCCCATGCCGGAGACCCACTCGGAGCGAGAACGAGGTGTGGCAGTGAGGACCTGGGAGAGAGGGGTTACATAAGTAACTCATACAGTTGGAATTGTATGGAAGTCTGTTTCTGCCACTGACAAACAAACAAACTTTTTATATCACAATGCAAGTTTGCATCTCACAATTCTGACTTTTTCTCAGAATTGTGTGATATAAATTTGCAATTGCAAGTTTTAAAATCAGAATTGCAAGATATAAACTCGCAATTGCGAAAAATAAAGTCAGAATTGCTAGATGTAATCTCTTCTGACCTTTTTTTTCTCTATTGTGAGTTTATAT